CGGAACATGGGCTGGAATTGGGAACCGCTGATGTAGCCTATTGTAGTAATGTTGTCTCTGGTATTCTGGTCTGTGTGCGTATATGCGTTCAGGGGGCGTGGCTTTGGACAGCAATTGCAGGGAGGGTTGGACGCTTGCTTTCAGTGCTATCAGGCTAAAGTTAGCATTTTCCAAGATCTCCTACTGCACCTTTAATTATGATTTTTGAAGTGGGCCCTATCTGTTTTTCTGTAAGTGCTACTGATAAATGCTATGTCACTGATTAAAAGTGAAATGTTTGGGTGTTATTGTACTTCCACTAGGCCTATATTGCAGAGCTATAAAAAAAGAGAGCAGGGAATGGACCGTTGCAGGACTTTGTCCGGCAAAAATGTACTAAAGTTTTAAAAGGAGAGAAAATATTTATAATCTCACCAAATCATGAATTCAGGTCCTATATTTGTCTGTTATTTTTTCGCTTCCAAAACTGTATCAGAGAGATATTTCTGTGCCTTTTCTCGTAAAGTTCCGGAGATGTAATTAAAATTCTTCAAAAAAATCATAATAATAATATTTATTTATTCATTTATACAACAGTTCTTTCTGGTCCTGGAATCTGATTGGCTGAGAGGAGTGCGATATCGGAACTCCAACCATTTCACCATTGTATCACTCTGCTTGCAGTATTTCTCACAGTGAGTGTCATAGCATGCGCCCAAATCCACTACAATTATATATAATACTGTTTTTCTGTGACGGAATGTCGTTTTTTTTAGGCGAGAATGTACTTTAGACTTCAAATATGCAGTTTGTTAATAAAGATACCATCTATTTGAAAATTTGCTTCGACATTTTCGGAGATGTGAGCTCCAGAGCATCAGCGGCCATTCAGTGCTCATGAACCTGCCGAGAACAGATCTTCTGGATTTTGCCGCTGGCTCTGATATCTCTATAGTGGTTAAACATGGGATATAATTTGCTTTGGGTAAATTTAATGGGCAGACTTTGTTCTCATTAATCTATTATTTGTTCCAGAGCAAATTGTTTTGGCTAAGGGCAAAAGCTCATCACGTTATTTTGTGTAAACTCAGTGCTGTATCAGAGCGCTGCCTTTGTATACTTTTGACTGAATTGGCTAGCAACTTTTATGATGGCTGTTGTTGTTGTTTATTAAATATTATTATTCAATAAATACAATTTTATATAAATAATAATTTATTTAATTTGGAAACGGTGTGTGTGTTCGTGATGGTAATTTTAGTTACATTGTTCCACCATTAGATGAGAAGTCATGGGAGTTACCAGATCAGTAGGCGAGGCCAAAACAGAGGGGCATTTTCGACCATGTTACCTGATTGGCTGATGTCATAGTGACAGGTAGGTTTAGGGGTGGGGTCAGGTAACGGGGATCATTTTCATTGCATGATTTAGAAACACCTAGCAGTTTGAAAACACCCACAAAGTCAGAAACGCCCACTTTTGCTCTGCAGAGACTCTGTGAGCAGCAGTAAATACTTTTATACTGAAAGAGACTGAAACAGGGTTGTAAAAAAGGAAGTTATTTTTACTTTCAACAAAACCTTGTAAGACGCAGCCAACAAATGCATTTAGCAGCGCTGTCATCAGAAATCACCCTTAACAGATGAAAGGATAGTACGACAAAGAAATCGCTTTCCTCAGCAGACATTCAAACTAATGTTTTATTGTGAATATGAGATTGAGCTGAAAAATTAATGCTGTATCAGATGCAGGTAATCACACTTGCTCAGTCCACCTGTTTCTCATAATACTTGACTCTACATAATACAGAGAGCTTTTAATACAGTAATACAATAAGCGTTCAATGAAGCAACTCAATGTTTTTTCGTTACTAGTTCTAAAGTGATGTTTTCGAATTAGTAATGGAGGCTGGGGCTCAGCTGTTAAACTGTCAACTTAAGATTTGAATCTTTGTCGGAAGGAAGTAGTCCTGCACAAAAGAGGACTTTAAAGGCACTCCGTTGTTTGGTCTTCTGTTGTATAAATGCAGTATCACACTCATAGCCGTGCGGTATATCAGCACACTGTGTTTTTTAACGCTCAAAAAAGCATGTCTTAAAGCAGGCGGTAATTTTGCACTGCTCGTGATAGATTGCACTGGTCATTATGGAAATTATCTGGCTGCGTCTGTGGTCTTTAATGTGCGGATTGTCAGTAAATCACACACAGAATTTTCCCCTCCAATCGGCGCTTTGAATTGCGCATTAACACTAATTTGCTGTTTAGTAAATTTGGCCCTTTATCTGTTGATTGAGATGTAGGCCTAATTAAAAAGGTGTAATTAAGAATTGCAAGTATAGCCTACTTTGACATACTATCTTATAAACTTACATGCTTAAGTTTATTAGTTTTAAAGGGGTCATATGATGCTTTTTTAAAGATCATTATTTGGTGTATTTGGTGTAACAGAATATGTTGACATATGTTGCTTTAATGTTCAAAAAACACATTATTTTTCAAATACTGTACATTATTGTAGGTCCTCTATGCCCCGCCTCTCTCAAACGCTTCGTTTTCTACAAAGTCCCTCCTTCCGACAAGCGCAGTCTGCTCTGATTGGCCAGCTGACCCAGTGCATTGTGATTGGCTGAACACCGCAAGCACTCGTCGGAAATGTAACGGCCCTTACCATAATCACGAGCATCAGCTTTCAAAATAAATGTAAAGACAGTGCCCGAAAGGGGAACAGAGTCGCGTGACAGACACGGTGATGAAGCTGGTATGTGTTTGTGATGTGAGCCCCCCCCCCTCTCCCTCTCTCTCTCTCTCT